ATGTACGTTCAAAGCATCGCTGTGATGTTTCCAGAATCCTGCTAGCTGTAAAGAGCAGTAACACCTGGCGTAGTTGAAGTACCTGTTTCGCAGGCGCAGTACCTGTTTCCAAGAACTAAGCGCCCCAATTGAAGTGATGTTGGCGTTGCTAATGAATATTTTTGTACCATGGCAGGAATCTTCTCCGACTACAAATGAAAAGATATTCTATGCCGCATGAAGTGAAACTGAACTTCATTGTCAGTTTGACACATCATTTCTGCTGCATCAAGAGGATGAAACTTTCACCACTTTGTTTATCAGCGGAAGGCTGGTTGAGTATGAATGGTGCGAACTGGTAGAGAAATGACGAAGAAGTCGATATTGTTGCATAACAAAGATTCTTGGAATAACACTGCTGAAGCATTGGCGAACTGTTTCTTTAGAAGCAGTGGTTCGAATTCGATTAATTTCTTCCCTAGAGAACGAATGTTTGAACAAATAGCACATGAAAAAAGGAAACCACTAGCGTTCAGAGTATTCTGAGTATACATTTGCCATTCATCAAGACGATCGATCCTGTGTCTGTATGCAGCATCACGTAAACGATAAACAACGGCAATGTTCTTATGCTTTAGCAGGAATTGTTATTCGGCCTTGGAGCTAAAGCAATCACTAGAATCACTGAACTTACCTATCGAGAACTAATCTCACTTAAGTACTTAAGAACTTAAGAACTAATCTCTCTTAAGTACTTAAGAACCATTTTACAAACAGTGACGAAACGTACCCACATTCTGCAGTATTACTAGTGAATTTCTAAAAACATTATGCAATAACGATGACAATTTGGAGTAGTTTAGTATCGTATGTTTTTGAAAAGCGAATCAAAAAGAAAATGCGGTTGCACGATCTGTTCGGGCCGAGGTTACGCAGTCCGTAAGGCGTAGAACTCGCAAAAGAGGTCACAGGTTCCAACCGTAGACAGGTCGCTCCACCGCCATTTCAACGTTACATGCTTTTCTCTCCATTTTTTTCATGAGCGAATGATGAAAGATGTATAGTGGCACTAATTAGAAAATTATTTTCTGTGTTTTACAAGGGACAACAACAAACCACGCGATGAAAGAGCGCAAGATAATCTGGCAGCAAAAAACTGTACTCTAAACAGTAAGGTAGACTTTGAAAGCTTATTTGATGATTTAAGCAGCGCACATTAGCGACAGTACAGGAAAATGGGTTTACGTTTCCTAATGGTTCTTTTTCGACTGACGCATTGAAATTGCTGAAGCATAGTCAACAACTTACACCAGCAGAAATATTGCTTCATAGGCCTCTTATGTGCGCGTGATAGACGAAGCACCGCATCGATCGATTCCTAAGAAATCAAGAAGCACTCCTCGCTGGGAAGCGCTGCGTTAGTTTGTTTTGCCATCCAGCCAGACTCGATACTGACTTGAGTTCGGTGAGGAAACTTTTCGACCGCTGGTGGCTTCTAACCGGACGATAGGACGCTTTTTAGCCATTTGCTGGCTGTACATGAGTCAGCGGCGAAACGGCCGTTATCGTGACGCATCTTAAAGCGACGTTGTTGACCGCTGTCACCAAATCGCCAATGTATCAACAAGTCGTCTGTGATACCAAGACGGAAGCTTCACCTCACAGGAACGCCACCACTTTTTGCGCTCATCTTTTTCCTGTCCCCCTGTGATCGCGATCGCATCACCATCACCATGCTTCCGTCTTCAGAGACCACCTGTTCGTCGGTGAACATCGTTCACAAGTTCAAGCGACTGTTCAGCAGCCGTATGTACCTGGCCCTGGCCGTGCTGGCGATCGCCAACTTCTCCAATTCGGTCATCTTCTCTTGCATCGCGCCATTTTATCCAAAAGAGGTAATCGTTTTCGCTTTTGCCGTTTTCTAATCAATCACTGTCGCTGTTCTCTCGGCGATCATTAAGCTAGTTCGTCACAGGCTGTGTCAGGAGAAAACGCCGTTGAGTTTCACCAGGTAGCAAGTAGGGAAGAGTAATTTGAGGTAAATGGGAATAACAAGGAGAATAGGAAGACGAATGAATGGATGGAGGCACAAATAGAAGTTTGCGATGTCATAACCCGAGTGAATAAGTTAAAGTGGCAATGAAAGGAGCAAATTGGAAGGAGAAACTACACAAGAGAGACATCACACTTGGTTCCGAGATACGGTAAACAGCCCGTAGGAAGACCTCCAGATCTATATCAGGATGAGCTGAAAAATTTCGCTAGGTCGATATGCATAGAGATTACGGAAAACAGACGTTTATGTCAAAGTTTTGGAGCAGTGTTGTACATTTTACATTTACAGAAGGTGTCATTGAAATATCAAGCCTCCTGTTCTCTTTTCGAGTCCGTAAATTGGTTAGGAGCTAACTATGAAGATGCAGAGGGCTTCTTTTTGAATGTGCGACTTTCTTTGGAAAAGGCATTTCCCGAATTTTTCAAAGCAAGATAAAATCTATTAATGGATAGCACTTTTATATAATCGAGTTTTTGATGCCCACCAGGGTAATGATGCAGTGTTGTGTCATTCATTCATTTATTTATTGATAAGATTGTTCGTTCCTTCCTTCATTGCTACCTTTAAAAATGACAGATAACATATGACATCCACGTTCAAAACGATAACGTCCTGATTGTACCAGTTTGTCAAGATTGTTACGCGGGATCTCCGCACGTAGGCCATTTATGTCGACCAAAACGTGTCTTATTTTCTTTCTGTTCTAAGACATCTGCCAGATATCATCAGGATCTTCTGTTTTTTGTCTAGACTGAAACGACAAACATAGAGTGCTCTTTCTAAAGCGCCTACCATCGCCTCCTTCGTCGTCGTTGTTCATTTCTGGCTATCTAAGCCATAGGCGCCCTAGCGGGGTTTGGAGAGCTGTAAAAAATTAAATGAACGTACAAACCTTTCAGTGAAGAATATTCCATTTCCTTGCAACTGTAGCAGAAGCTTGCTCTTGGTCTCTTTCTTGAGGACAAATTTTATTATCGTGGCGTTTACTCTTCTAGAATTCCAAAGCAACTACGCAAGAAACAAATATCAGGTTCGGGACCTGCTTAAAACGGTAACACGATGATGCCCCTTTGTAGTCATGTCAGAGATAACGAATTTGACACAGTATGATGCTGGACTTGTTCCACTATGCTGTTACCTATTGTCTACCTGATTCTTCAACACTCCATGATGCATATGCAGGTAGCAAATTTGGCGTGTAGCATTGGCCTGTCGTTCTTCACAATGATTTACGTACCAAACCATGGTTTTTGTGATGCGAGATATTTTTACTGCCCGATGGCTTACGTGGATGATTAGCAAGTCAGTGGACTTGCCTTAAATCATTAAACAAATAAATAAGAGTGGGGCAAGTAATCAAATTAGTAATGAAGGAAGGTTGATCAATGTTAAGTCACTGAACAAGTAAGAAATGAGTTAAATAA